ATATATATATATATATATATATATATATATATATATATATATATATATATAGAACTAGATTAAATTAAATTCATAAGAAAAAAAAAATTAATTATTTACAAAATTTAAACTTCTAAAATAGATGACTAGTAGTTTTTGAATGAGTTCTTTCAAAAGAATCTCATTCTGTAATGCAATGATCATGTACTGTACATGTTTTGAGGTTCTGAAGGAGTATGTGGCCGCAAATTCGTGGATCTCAAGCTTTGGAAGGGCTCGCTTGGATCTTCTTCGTCTCCATGATCCGCCATGATTGCTGCTCCGAACTGTTGAACTACCAAAACTGATGTCGTCGCTGCAAAATCCGACGAAGCTAACAAATCGCCGATTGCTCCAAGCTCTGGACATTCGCTCCAGTCTGTGAGTCCAGCGGTGAGAGGCGATATGTGAGATTCTCCTCTCCCCACGATGTATAGGTCGTGAGCATCATCCATTGATCGTATGCCTGCTACTGTCTCCTCGCCGTTGTTCGAGACTTTCTCGTTGTAAGATATTGATTCGTTATTTGAGCTTTTTGTTCTGAATTCCTTTATGAGTTCTTCGTCCAGTTTCCTCTCTCTGTCGGCATCTGTTTCTGTAGTTGAAGCTATTGGTGTGTTATCTTCTTGGTTTGGTTCTGATGCTTCTTCTCCAGCGATGAATCGCATTACGGTTAAGCTTACTCGTGGATGTTCTGACATTCTCCATGCGTATGATAGGGCTTCTCTATCGTCTTGTCCACCGAAGAACAACATGGTTATGTTATAGTGACATTCCTTGTTCGATGCGACTCGATTCGAGCCGTTTAAGCCTCGATCCACTAGGATTCCGACGGAACAAGGGGCATTGGCTAACACATTTTGGTTTACCAATCTAAACGCTGGATTTGTGGCTTCCATTCCTCCATCCACTGTTTGTTGCTTGTGGAATGGGATGATTATGAAGGCCACACGTTTATCCTCGGCTAAATTGCAGATGTCTTCGTGCATTGTGGAGTAGGGGGAAATGGCTGTGAGCGGCTGAACTGAGATGCATTCGACGTGCTGCTCGTAGTTCTCGAATGCATTGATGATGTGATCTGATTGAGCTTGGGTTCGATTTAGGGCAGGGCGACCTGATTTTCTGGTGTTGTGGACAATGAGCATGGCCGAGGCTCGGCCTGTGAGTTCGACCAAGTGTAGAACGTAAATGCAAATTGGGGATCTTTTGGTTGGGTTTGAGGCATCAAGGAGGTTAATGATCGTTGGCACATTTCGAGGTGTGTGGATGCAAACTAATACTCTGAACTCTGAATCTGGTTTCGATGATTGGATTGTTCGTTTCTTATACGGTAGAAACCTTCTTGTTGGCCTATAGATTATGGTAACTACAGGCGTTATTATCCCAGTCATAAAGAGGGCTACAATCACCATAACTGTGAACGTTTTATCATCCAACACCTGCATATTATGTTTACATTGATACTTTGGTGAGAATGGCATGAAAAGAGGCAAAGTTTATGACAAAGAAAAAGAAAGACAACCCAACTTCTTCTATCTGCAGAGCATTCCAGGTTAGTATGCATTCATTATTGTTGCTCATGTATTTAATATCTAGGATAATGGGTGCGTGCGTGGTGGATAGCAAGAGAAAACTCAACCCAACTTATTAGATTTATAGGGAATTTAAGCTCAACGTATGTGGGAGGGACAGTATTGTTGAGGATGGTTGGAAGAGGAATCCCACGTCTGCTAATTAAGGGGTTGATCATGGATTTATAAGTAAGGAATACATCTCCATTGGTATGAAGCCTTTTGGGGAAGCCAAAAGAAGAACCACGAGAGCTTTTGCTCAAAGTAGACAATATCATACCATTGTTGAGTGTCGTGATTCCTAACAAAATATCATACCATCGTGGAGGGTCGTGATTCCTAACAAAATATCATACCATTATGGAGGGTCGTGATTCCTAACAAAATATCATACCATTGTGGAGGGTCGTGATTCCTAACAAAATATCATACCATTGTGGAGGGTCGTGATTCCTAACAAAATATCATACCATTGTGGAGGGTCGTGATTCCTAACAAACTATCATACCATTATGGAGGGTAGTGATTCCTAACAAACTATCATACCATTATGGAGGATCATGATTCCTAACAAGTATGTGTTGAGAGTGTTTACCTTTTGGTCCTTTCCGACGTTGAGGATGATCATTTCAATAAGGCCTTTGGTGTTCATAAGCAAGCCTAAGGTGACACCTTCTCGATAGGACATCTGATAACAAATGGAAGCAAGGAGAGTTCCAATGATTTTTCCAGCAAAAGCAAGGAGAGTGATTGATAGAATAGCTACCCAAGAGGTTGATCCTTCTATGCGATTCACATTAGTCTTAAGCCCACTTATTGCAAAGAAGAGAGGGAGAAGAAGCCCTGAAACAAAATCCTCAAGTTTCTCAATTAAAGCCACCCCAAGTGATCCATTGGGGATAACCAACCCGAACACAAAAGCCCCAAAAACCGAGTGTGTTCCAAGGGCATCTGTAACAAACCCTGAGATCATAACCCCTGTGAGGATCAAACATATATAGAACTCACTGATACTTTCCCCTTCTGGAGTTTTTCGAATCATCCACGAGATCAAGGGTCGAACGATGAAGATACAAAACAAAACAAAGCCTGTACTTGACAATATAACCCATAAGGAAGCCATAGATGAGGTATCATTCTCAGATAAGGCTATGGCTATAGCTAAGAGAACCCAAGCACACATGTCATTGAAAAGGGCAGAGGCCATAGCCATCCTTCCAATCTCTGAGTTTATCAGTTTAAGCTCTGCAAGAATTCTAGCTAGCACTGGGAAAGCTGTCACGGAGAGTGCAATACCAAGAAACATAATGTAAGTGATGTTCAATTCCTCATCTGTTTTGTGCAACTGGAATGAAAAGGCAGCTCCTATGCTGAATGGAAGAATCATTCCTGCTACAGCTATTGCCATTGCCTTCGTCCCAGTTCTACGAATCACTGACAAATCCATCTCCACACCAACCAAGAACAAAAAGTAGAGAAGCCCCACATTGGCCATTGTTTCAAGCACCATTACACTTCTTAAAGGAAATACGGTGTTGGCAAAATCTGCACTCCTCCCTAGAACCGAAGGCCCCAAAATCACTCCGCCCTGTTACACACAGAAACGAAGTTTAAAGCTCCAAATGCCATCATCAATTTTGAACAATGGGGAATCCTAGGATGATCCTGAGTTTATAAGTAAGAAATACATCTGCATCGGTAATGAGGCTGTTTGGGGCTCATTGGCAATGAGGCCGTAGGGGAAGCCCAAAGCAAAGCCATGAGAGCTTATGCTCAAAGTGGACAATATCCTACGGTTGTGAAGATCCATGATTCTTAACATATATCAAAGCCATGCCTTTAACTTAGCCATGTCAATAAATTCCTCAAATATCGAACAAAGAAGTTGTGAGCCTTGAACGTGTAGTCAAAAAGTGACTCAAGTGTCGAATAAAAGGTGTATTTTGTTCGAGGGCTTGAAAGAAAGGAGTCGAGCTTCAATAAAAGGGAGGCTGCTCGATGACTCTATAGGCCTCAGGGGAGGTTTTATGGTATACTTTGTTCGAGGAGAGGATTGTTGGTGCAGAGTCCCATATTAGCTAATTAAGAGGATGATCATAGATTTATAAGTAAGAAATACATCTACAATGGTATGAAGCCTTTAGAGAAAATCCAAAGCAAACCCATAAGAGTTTATGCTCAAAGTAGACAATATCATACTGTTGTGGAGATCCGTGATTCCTAACATTTAGCGCAGGCGGTGGAAATAAAATGACAAGTACTTTAGATAAAGAGATCTTAAACTCACCAAAATTTCAGAGATGACTCGAGGTTGACGTAAGGGTTTTAAGAGGAAAACCAAAGTGCGAGTCATCACAACCACCATTGTCAACTGTAAGATGAAGAGAGGGAGAGAATAATCAAGAGGGTTATCGCCTTGCCACACCCCATTTGTTGTGATCATGCTAGGCGCATAGCAAACGATTGTATCGTCTGTGCTATTCGCTATCGAAGCCTGCTCATCCATGTCTTCTTCTCTTTTGCTAATCACCTCTCTTACAAACCCACCATTAACAGGTTCTTGATGAAACTTGTGGAAGCTATGCGAGGAAGAACGTGAAACTTTTGAAAGAAAATGAACCAATGAACTGTAAATGCTTAGAGTTTCATTGGTTTGCTGTCTGTCTCTGTTACCAGCGAGGACCCAGCTTATCTGAATGGGTAAAAGAAGAAAACAGAACGAGAAATATCGAAATAATACTTGTGTTTTGAGAAGGTTGGTGATCTGTGGTCAATGATGGATTGACTATTTTCGTACCCCATATTCTTGGTGTGTTCAAAAAATGGAGGAGGCTTGTAAATAGGCCCTTTTTAGCCGTGCACATTATTAACCCATCGTTAGGGAACGGTGAGAGTTTTTTTTTTTTCTTTTTTTTCTTTTTTTTTCATTCGGAGTTTATTCCGTTGATGTTTAGAAGTTTAAATCTTCGTTACTTTATATAATATTTCCTTTGTAAATAACTCTATGAATGCGAAGAACAACATCAGTCTTTGAGTATTTTTTAAAACACGTCTATTGTTGACAGTTTCACCTCATTAGGGACCTGATGTCTTTGTTGGCACACCGCTCGGTATCTGACTCTGATACTGTTTGTAATAGCTTAAGCCTACCTCTAATGGATACATTTTAAAAACTATGAAACCGATAGCGATACGTAATAGGGTAAAGTGAACAATATTTATTAACAGTGAGCTTGAATTGTTACAGTTTTAAGACCATTGTGATCTATTTATGCTTTGCTAATGGTTTGTTTATTTCAGAAGTTTTCACATTTTTAAATCATTAATATCTATATAAGTGAGATTTTTTTTTTTTTTTTTTTTTTTTTTAATTTGGATATCATAAAAATATAGCCTAATTAAATAATTAATAGTAATTATAACTAACTATTTTTAATTAATATTTTAAGTCGATGATTCGTTACTAATATTTTAATTAGTATATGCTTATTAATCCTTTTAGCAATTAAATTAAATCATTAAGGTTAAATTAATAAAAACATTTGAATGTTCCAATAAAATTCTTAAACTAAAAAAAAAAAAAAAAAAAAAAAAAAAATTT